TAAATATAAATAGAAGATATAGGAAAAATGAATATAAATAATGAATTATAAATCGAGATAAATAGAAATAGATATATATAGAGATATAAATATAAATATAAATAAATTCAAATAAATTTAAATAGGAAGAACTAGATATAGATAGGTTTAATAATTTATATAAAAATGTAATGAAATCTCGTTATTCGGGAAATAAATTAATTTATTAATATTCAAATTTTAGCAATAATCATAAATTATATTTAAAATATCGCATATCTTATATCCGGCGGATTGAGAAATCTCATTGATATGAGATTATATATGCTGATATATTAAAATCTCAATACAGATGCTGATTATATATTCTAAATTCTTCCAGCTCAATTGACAATATATATATCGTAGCTACCGGGATTTCTAGAGCTTCTTTATATTTGAGAATTAATATCGACGCCGAATCACGACTAATTTTTTAGATATTATTTCTTCTTTCTGAAAATCGAATTACTCTCTATGATCCGCGAAGTTTAATTATATCATCCGAGATGATTTTTGATTTATCAAAATCTATGAACTATATATCAGATATTGATCTTCAGAGATCATTTCTTCGAGATATATAGAGCGACATAATCAAATCATAAATTATATTTTAATAAATTCCAGGAATCTCAAGAAATATATTTCATGAATATATCATTAATATATCAATATAGAAATCATATAAGCAAAATTATATCTATCAAATAATGATCCATTATATTTTTTTTATTCGATTTCAGGAATTATAGATAAAATATTTTCCTATCTAATCTTATCATAATAGAACCAATTATTCCTAAATAGGCGCTCGATTTATGAGCGCACGGAGAAGATATCTATCAATAATATCAGATCGCGCTCCAATTAATGAATATCTAAATAAATATATCTCTATTTCTATACTTGAAAAAAGGATCATATGTTTAGCTCCGAAATAATAAATCGATATCTGTAGATTCATCTTCGAATCATAAATTTGAATGCCATGCATATTCCCATATGGAAATAGATTATTAAATCCAAAAAGTGATATTTATAATTACACGCTTCGGGTTGCAGCTTCTATTTGGAGTCGGCTTTCGGACCTGCGAAACTGATCAGTCCAGACGGCAATGATATTACGTCGAAGACAGCTGCAAGTATCTTCGCCATGAAATTGTATATATAGGTAATCAAATATTTGCGACAAATGCTTGGCAACCCATTTAGAAATGCCTAATAATTAATGATAGCATTGCGCTAAAAGGTTTAGCGTTTAGGATTTAGGACTATAATATCAATCATTCTATTTTCTTTTTGAAAATAATAAAAGATCGGAGAAATCATGAGCAGAAATATTTATATCCTTAAATTTATAAATTTATCAGAAATAATCACCCGCTCAAATATCATGAAATTTAGAAGTTCTCCTATGCTTAGCGCTTATCATATATAAATTCAAGTAAAGCTGCTCTAAAATACTTCGCTTTATTATAAATAATCGTATTCTTTCAAGTATAATCTTATTTCAAAGTCAAATATTTTTATGTAAAATATTCGATTCTATTATTATCCCTTCGAAATATAAATAATATCGTAATAAATCAAAATAAATCATTTCCCATATAAATATATTTTATAAATATCAAATCGAGATAAAAATAATTTCATAATATATCAAGACCAACCATTCCCTCCTTTAGATACGCGATCCCACAAATAATTATTCGAAACATATATATATATATTATATTTTATTTTATCAAAATATTTATATTTTATGCTAGATAAAAGCCCACTAATAATTAATCAATAATATCGTATTAAATAGAAAATCTAAAATATTTAGTCTAATAATCTAGAAAAATATTCTTTTTAATTTATATAGATTTTCGGGGATAGATTCCGGAAAAAAAATCCTTCCTTTTATTTCGAAATGAAATCCAAAAACTATTATTTAAATTAATTCGCGCCAGACCACGCAAGCGGAATACACGCTCCGAACAATGATCGTATGCCAAATATTAATCTTCAGAAAACCGAACGATTTCCCAAGCACCCACTCAAAGATTACATCAGTGGCAACAAATCAAAATCAGCCAATCTCATAATTAAAATCAATCATTCCCCATATTAACACTCGATTTCCCAAGCACCCTCTCAAGAAACACATCAATAACAAATAACTAATCAAAACCAGCCATAAATGGAGATCGACGCCCAGAGATACTCGCGGAGAGACGCACAGACAAGTATACTCATAGAATACACAGAGATACGTGCACACAGATCTCATACGCACAGATATACGGAGGGACACCTGTATTACTAAAATATCGGATTTTTTTTGCCGCGGACATATCCCGAACAAAAATTTTAATACCGCGAGATTTCCTAAAGCTCTCAAAATTTCTGAAATTTTAGTTCCAAGAAAGAAGTACTCCCGGCATTGAAGTTTCCGAAATTGTCGTACCGCCAGATCAACACGCACGAGACTTCAAGAAGCGCACCAGAAGACGAGGTTACAGAAGCCAAGGGCGCCCACGAAAAAAAACAGAAGCGACCAGCACGACATCGTTTATTAGAGAATTAGAGAATATTTATTAATAAGAACATTAGAAGTATTGTTTGAAAATTTATTCTCCGATGAGCGTTGAGTCCAGCACACCGTGAAACTCTGCATGAATTGGATCCCTGGCCTTCGCCCTCTTTCCTGCAAAGTAATTCTTATGGTCATGTAGGAGGCCCGTGCCTGCAAGAAACATTTCAAACGAAAACCACTACCATTTATGGGAGTTGGGCTTGTTGCAGAACTCATGTTGAGTATCCTGAGTCTTCAGGCAGTGTGAAACGCAAAGTGACACTCTCGGCTCAGGCATTTCCCTGCAGGAAACGTGCTAAAACTGATCACAAAGACTCAAAGGCCATAAGTTGCAAACTCCAGGCCGCTGCCTCGCCATTGTCGCAGAGGAGGAGTGCAGGATTATGCACCCGTCTTTGGATAAAACCTTGATTGCAGGCATGCTTACGATCCAGCATGGTCACATTGTGCCTACGAGATACGATTGTCAGCGCCCGGCATTGACCCTCCTCTGACCGCAACACTTTTGCTCGGCTTGAACTGGCACCACACCTGCATCCACTCGCGATCTGTCGTAGACATTAGTCACGGGGCAAGTTGCCGTGCCTTCGGATCAGGCTTTGGTGCTCCCTGGCAGAAGTTGAATGTGTTTGCTCTGCTCTCTCTCTCTCTCTCTCTCTCTCTCGCACTAAGGTATCACACTCGGAACTGCTATGATGAGCCATGGGTGCACATTGACAGAAGCACTGCCAGCATGCGCCGGCCAAGTAGCAGTAAACACGCTTATCCTGTCTACAAGGGTGCGCACAATAGTCTCCTCGAGTCTCAACAACCCCGGGCATACAAGCCATCATGCCACTTTCCCCACCCCGGTCAACGACCGATTCTGGAAACTCTGCAAGCCCACACCAAGTAGTGGCGTTATAGAGGCTGCACTTCCGGACATGTCACACAGAACACGATATAGCGTGAGGCCTAGTATTGGTAGCAATGGCACCAACAGTCCTGATATAGTAACCCAGCAAATAGCACGTTATGTCATACTACTGCTTATAGTCTAGACTTGACACCATATTCTCATATGAGATATGGATATGTCGGATCATATGCAAAAGGCAACTGAATTTGAGTGCCTCCGTCTCGTCTGCTGGTTCGTCTTCGGTAGCCTGCTCCTGACGAGGCCAGATGAGCTATGCAAGTGGATGGACGCATGAATATATGAGACTCTAACTTATACCGATATGTGCACAACCACGCTGTCCGCCTGTACATCTTTGTACCAATGCACAATGCACATTGACAACGTGCGCACATACATGTCCCTACGCTGTGTGCATGTGTGTGTACACACACACATACATACGAATGTATGCTTTAATGCAAACGGACACTTTCACTTATTCGTCTAGATGTGGATGTATGTGTGTGTGTGCGCATGTGTACTTTGGTCATGTAGGCGTGTATCGTGTGTTTCAAGCGCAGCAAACCATCACGGAGGCTGCGTCTGGAAACTGCCAGAACTCCGGATCACTGACAGTCACACATACAAGCATCTTCCTGAAGCTACTAAACGGTTTGGTGGAGTGGCGCCTGCTCTGTGCAAACCGCAGTCCTTCTGCAGGTAATCACCAGCAAGCTGGTTTCCGTTCTTGAAGACCCACACTCCTTTGCCGTAGGGCTTGTTGTACCTCAGGGCAGTCACAAATTCAAGCTGGCAAATCCTGAAAACGACACTCGCCGGCCTGAACTTGCCGCAGTAGAACGTGCCGTTGGGAAACACCCACCTCTCATGGCTGGCTTTGCGGTTGACCAGCGCGTTTGGAATGGCAATTGCTGGGTCAACCGTCTATGGCAAAAGGCATCGCAGGGCAAGGTCAAGACATGGGCTATTCGACGAGGCGATGTGACGAACCAAGGGGAACGAAGGCGCAGTTCATGTCGTGCGACTACTGGATCTGCGCTGCAACGTGACAGCACTGAGCCGAGCAACTTGCCGCTGACGATCTTGCCATCTTCCCACTCTCCAACTAGCTGAGTTCCATCCTTGGCAAACCTGATCGACGGACAGCAAGGCAGATGACAAGCCCAAGCGGATATCAAGGTGCACCTTGAAATGCCGGTGTGTTTGTGTTCGAAATATCTATTTCGAATCTTGGGGGCGGGCGTGTACGTGCCGTTGCCATGCTTCTTGCCCTCTCTCCACTGACCCGCGTATGCCTCGGCTCGGCCCCTTGATGCTTCTTTCGCGATACGAGCTTTCAAGAAACGTCTTGGCTGGATCCATCTGTCGCCCATTCCGCCCTCTCCGAGGGGAGCTTACAACAGTCAGTATCTAGAAGGATTGCGTGGGTTCACCATCAGCAGCGGCCTAACCAGTTCCCGGACGAAAACATGCTGAATCCTGCTCCGGTTGCGTCTCCGTTGACGTAGGTGAAGGTGCCGTCTGCTGGCGCCTGTCCGAGGTGGTGAAATGTCAAAGTGAGATGAAGATAGCTAGGCTCAGCACATGAATTGTCTCTGCTGCACATGCAGCCTTGAAACTCCTAGTGTCCTAGTGCTAGTTTCATAACAGACGGTGACATGCGCCACACTGACGCTGCCAAAACGGCCATGACCATGAAACAGAAGAAATGAACACCCACGAGGACCAATCCAATCTACGAAGTGGCAAGGAAGCTGACAGCTTGGAGCCTCGGGACCGGCACTGGCCAAGCGCCCTCGGAGGCCGGCGGTGAAGTTGCCCAAATAGGTGCCTACGACGCTCAGACAGTTGCTTCAGCTTGCTGTCTTTGCACCAGTGCCGGCACTGGTCTAATTAGTAGCAACCACTACCTGCGCGCAACTGTGACGACCTGTGCTCTGAATCAGGCCACTTCGTACAGCTAGAGGGAGACTGCACGGCCGAGGGGGCAAAGCGATGCCCTAGTACATGTCCGCTTCTATGCATAGGTGGGCGTTTCAGTCCAGCCTCCCCTTGGTGGGGCATTCTCGTCTGGCGGGTCGGCATCCTCCTCCTGATTTAATACAAGTCTCAAGTTGTCAGTCGCCGAATTTCCTGCACTCTGGCTCTTCTTCGGCTGCCAGTTCTGGAACTAGAACAACAGTTTCAAGCCCCAAGTCCTCGCCGATATTGTTCCTGCGACAGAAACTAGAATAACTAGAACATCATCGATTGTGCACTATTACTTCACTATTACCATCCCATTGCATTCAGCAACTTGTCATTACGAGTGCGGGTGAGTCGCAGCAGGCACATCTCCGCTGAGCTTGCCATGTCTCAAACGCTACTTGCCAAGGGAACTATCGGGCATACTCCGCCAGGTGGCAGGAACAAGAGTCATGAATCAACAGCAACCAAGGAAGGCGCAAACACAGACGGAGCCTTCGATGCTGGAGACAAAGCAATGCCACACAGCCGCAAAAAGTCATGCATGGCCTGTACGTCATCTTGCCAAACCCGTGCTTCCTGTTCTCCTCATACTTGCCTGTCAGCTGCTGGTCAGGAGTCAGTGCGCTGGCTCACAGCGAGAGAGAGAGAGAGAGGTCTGATGATCTCTCGCTGAAGCTTTTATGTTGAAGTCGCTTCTGCACTGAACTACGACATTCCATCGGCGCTCTGTCCGGAAGCCAAAGAAGTGATCTGCTCAGCGTGCCTTCGTAGCTGTCGCCGGTCTTCTTGAAGACATACAGTCCCTTTCCTGCAACTGCGCAAACTCCGTGAAAGCCCGTGAAAAATCTACTGCCGTCGGCGAGCCGCACGGTCTCATCCAAACATGCAAAGCTGCTCACCCCGGCCTCAAGGAGGATGCTGCTGCAAATGCTCTTTGCAATCTTACCCACATTGGGTTTCGAACGAAAGCTGTGACAGCAGCATACAAAATCGCAACAGCTGGTTCCTGTACGAAGACCCTCCACGAAAGTGCCCTCGTAGCTGTCGCCAGTCAAGTAGAGCGCCTTGCCTTCGCGAAGTGTCGGGCATAGGGCGGAACAGAGAGCTTGAAAACGAGTTTCAATGATTCAATGGCAAATGGAAGTCGATTCAGACAGACGAGGAAGGTCATCCACTAGCAGACCTACACAGCGACTTCTCCTGTACTCAGTGTTAGCCAGAGACAACCAGCCACGAAACTCAGGACAGTCTACAAACGCCATGCTCGCTTGCCCCGTCTAAGTATCAGGCCTTGACCCGTGAACTTCTGCGATCCTTCCTCACAAAACGCAGGCTCGGGACCCGCTTGATCTCTCAACATGAGTGACATGTCCGAAGACGCGCCAAACCGCGCCCTCTTTATGTCTGCCACGGCACATCTTCAAGCCGATCTCATGGTGCCGAATCCGAACACACAGAACGAAGTATTGAATGTGTGCGAACGTCCGGCTGGGGTAGGGTTGGAAAGGCTGGAGAGTGCAGTGCATGTGGTCCTCTCGGGGCTTCTCGGCGCCCTTCACGAAGAGCCTGACATTGATTCGAGAAAGCCCTCTTGTGGAATCACTCGTTTGATCAGAGTTCCTGTGTTATCCATGAGCTGCTGAGTGAGGGTCAGAAACGCAAGGCTGGCAACAGCCCACCATGTGTCAGCGATGTATGAGTGCATAGGTGAGCAGCTAAACCATGAGATGCAACAGACATGGCAGGAAGGCTGGTACTTCGGTTCTCCTTCTTCTTCTACTTCGCCCATGTTTTAGCAGCCCCTGTCGCATCAGGCGGGTGCAAACACTGCAGACACTCCGTCACGCAGTTCCGCGTGCAGGTGCCGCCTTCCTCAGCTCGGTGCTCTGCAGAAAGTGCCGGGTGCCCAAGTTGGATTGGGCCAAATCTGAAGGAACGTACCGGTGTGTCAACTGCGGCGGTACGTGTGACGTGAAGGAGCGAGAGGCAATAAGCCAGCCCATAGTCTTGCAAGAGGGAAAATCGCAATGACAGGTGCCGCAGAACCGATCCCCGGTCGCAGCCAAAACATGCTGAGGAATCCATGCGTGGTCTGAAATAACTGCAGCATCTTGAACTTGAGAAGCTGTGTGTATATATTATATATATGTACACATAAGTACGTTGTATGAATACATATATACATACACACACATACATACATACATACATACATACATACATACTTACATACTTACTTACTTACTTATTTGCCTACTTGCGTACATGCAGCGACGGGACTGCCAAGAAATCATTCGGTTGAGGCAGCCACGCCTCAAAAAATCAAGGCCCCCCCCCTTGAAAAAAATCGAAGGTACTGACCTCGGCAGGCCACTTCCCAGTTTTGCTCTTCTCGATTCTTCTTCGCTGGTTTTCTTCACTCAATAACAACGACTTCAGAAACTGAAGGACTGGATTTGGTATTTCAGGGACGACGCATGGAAAGATTGGTGGCACAATTGAACTGGTGCATCCCCGCCCCCATGCTTCCCAAATCGGATTGGGGAGAGGGCTGGTGTTACGTAGCCTGCAAGGGAGGGGTGGTGGTAACCCGTAGCAGCGGAGACTGCGTTAAGGAAAACTATGAGTGCTGGTGGTGATGGTGGCGCTGGTCTTGGTGCTGGTGTTGTTGTTGTTCTTCTTCTTCTTGTGGTTGTTGTTGTGCTTGTGATTGTCCTTCTCGTTGCCTGGGTGGTGGTCGCGGCAGTAGGAGTAGGAGTAGTAGTAGTAGTAGTAGGAGGAGGAGGAGGAGCAGTGGCCAGCGGTAGTGGTAGCATCAGCGGTAGCAGTAGCAGCAATAGTAGTAGTAGTAGTCGTCGTCGTCGTAGTGGTGGTAGGGACAAGAGAGAAGCGGAGCAGGACGAGACCGGAAGGATGAGGGAGAAACAGAAAAGCGGAAAAGCAGAAAAGCGGAGGAGCAGAAGAGCGAAGAGAAAAACAGAAATGCGGAAATACAGAGAAGCAGGCAAAGCGTGACGAGCAGAGAAGCAGGAACAATAGCGAAACAAAAACAAACAGAATGCGACAAGCAAACACAAGCAGAAGGCAAAATGGGCAAAACAAATCCAAGCGTAGAAAGCCCAAAACAACAAAACGTTCTAAAAACAAATGCACCTCCTGCACTCCTTCACACACAAGGAGACCGCCATGCAACAACGGCGTTCATTAGCTGTCTTGTGATTCCTGCTGCTGGCCACGCGATGACAGCCCCTCATGCGTCTGGGCTCAATTGACGACCAGTTCTGTCGCACAGGAGGCTTGGCGACTGCCAAGGCCTACATGCAGCATACGAAGCATGCTGCAATGCTTCTGCCCTCTTTCTTACACATTGCGAAGCCATGCGAAGCCTGTCATAAGCACGTATCCACGCACGTCGCTTCATTTGCCGGGGTATCTTGTGCAGCTTGGGTGTCAAGGCGCGGGCACTCATCATCCTCCAGGCATAATGACCCCAGCAAAACCTGTAAGCCTTGTGCACGCGTCTTGTTGGCAACTGTGAAACACCAAAGGTCTGACCCTCCCAAGGTCACAGCCTGTTTGAAACCTGAGAGTGCTGTCGATGTCCAAGAGTGACCAGAGCAGCTGCTCCAGCACTGGCCGAACCGTGGTGCCGTAAGCTGGGAGCGATGCCATGCAGAAAGCAGCGGATGCTGCTGCTCCGCAAGTTGCAGAGCTTCCATTGGTAAAGTTAAGGTCGTACTGTTCACCAGAACTGTGGCAGTCAGGAGCTTCAAGTCAACTTTCAAGACGCTCCCCCTCTTTCCCAGAACTTCATCCAAGTTCTCGGGGACAGGAACTAGTGCTTTCGTGGAAGCTTCCTCAATGATGGATTTGTTCTCCACCACGAAGGCCATACTGCCGGCTGGAATGTCTAGTGCCTTGAATGTTTGCCCGGCACTGACCTCTTGGTCCAGGGCCTGCTTAAACGGTTGGATGCAGGAGTCTATGCAATCTGTGTCCTTACACCGGTTCCTGCATTTCGTTGCCTGGGCCTGCCAGAAGTCATCATCACCTGGCACGCTGCAGCCAAAGGCTGGTGTGATCTCTCCCATCTGTAGGGGCATGAACTCGATCACTGTCCAGGGCTCATCCTGCGTCGCTCGAGGCATCTTGGTCGGATTCATAAACCCGCCGGCTATGACGAATCTGCGCTCTGCTCCTCGTATGGCCTTCCATTGAGAAAACCTGGACTGCATGGAGGCAAGATACCGCTCGGCGGTAGCCATTGTCATCAAGACGTACTCCACATTCAGACCGGGAAACGACACTGCAAAGGCATCGCGCACCGTACCTTCTCTGACCACCATCTTGAAAGGCACTAAACGATCTGGTCCTTTGGCTGATGGCGAAAAAGGACTCCGCGTGACGACGCAACGGCCACCATCGGACTTCCACCATGGCATGTACCCATCTCCGGCAAGGTTGGGGCAACCAGAAGAAAACCAGGTCTTGCTCGGACCATCCGCGCGAAACAGTTCACAGCTGGCATCCGGCGGATTTCTGGGCTTTCTGCAGCAGCACAGATACTTTACACCATCCTCAAAGACTGTGGAATCTTCCCCTGCTTTGAAGTACTGCGACAAATCGAGCGGCTGCATTCGACTCTCGTGGCGCATCAGGTCGTGTGCTGTAGTGACATTAGTGGTATTATGCTCCACATCAACAAGCTGAGCAAGCTGCTGCCGCAGATACTCAACAGACTGGTCAGCCAGATATGAACAGGCCATTGACGAAAAGGCCGTGACACCCCAAAATGCCGCATGGGCCCCCAGCGTTATGAGGAGTGGCCCAGCAGCTACAGCAGAAAGACCTGCAGTCGCAATAGCGGCGGCACCGACTGCCAGGCTTCCCAGTCCTGCTCCGTTTGCAATCGCAGAGACTGTGAAGGCCAGCCCTTCCTTGCTCAGACCCCAACTTGTCTCGGTTGCCTGATACCAATCATTTTGGCCATCCTGTATAATCACATGGATGTCGTATGCGCCTAGAGCAGCCAGGAAAGAAAACTTGCCACCAGGCTGGACCCTGTTCCGGGTGTGTGCATAGATGTTTGCCAGTTTCGGCAGAGCAAGGAAGTTCAAAGGCACGGAAGCGTTGTTGACGATGGAGAACTGGAATGCCGACCTATCGTTGACGAGCTCGGCCGGCTCAGACCGCAAAGCAACAGGGCGGCCAACCAGGGCTCCAAGGACAAGACAACACAGGTATATCATGGTATATCATGAACGCAGGAAAGTCCTATATAGAGGCAATGCTACTTCTCAGACGAGCTGCGCTTGAACCAGGCTGCACGAACAGAACGCGATGGCACCACTTCTGAGGTGCCCTATCACACCTTATCACCTGGCACCCTGTCATCCCACTTTGATCTGCTTTGGCAAAGCTTTTGCTTCGACCATGCATTGCAGCTTTATGACCCTTCTCTCCCGACCAGGTCCATTACCAGATCATTCCCTGCAAAACGAGAAGTGCAGGCGATTTGTGGAATGGAGCAGCGAAAGCCATGTCGGAAGGTGTGCGAGGACGAGCTCAGGCACACCTGGCAAGACTGCACCCCTCCAAAGAGAGGAAACCGTCTCTTCTTGAAGGACTCGGGCTCACATACAGCGCAGAACCGGTAGTACGCAGGTATGTCCCATTAAAGTTTCGTGAGCCTCCACTGACAAGCTGAGAGTGTCCAAATCTGAATGTTGCAACTCCGCTGAACTATCACCGAAGAGAGGCATTGATGCATTGCTAGCTTTGCTTCTGTTGAAGTCTTGCCTGCACATCACCTCCTTCAGCACGCTCCAAAGCCTGACCGAAGTTTCGGCTGGGAAAGCGCAGCACAGAGGGCATGGCGGCGAACTTGCAACCTACTTTCTTCGATAGCATGTGCAGAACAAACCGACAGGATCCCGGAAGCACCCTCCCGGTTGCCTTGCGCCCGAGGTGCTTGCAAAGGCGCATCGTGCTCACGAATGAGTCCGGCAGAATGCATGCAGCCCAATCCTCAAGTCGGTCGGAGACAGCAGGGGTCTCAAGTGAAGCTGACACAGCCAAGCACGAGTTTTTGAAACCACGCGGTGAAACACAAGCTTGTCGACTGCCCCCTTTGAGTGGGATACTTGGCGATGGAACGGGGGGCAACGGCCTCTTCAAATAGTGCAAACCAGAAGTCACGGAAGTCCTACTCACCAGATCAGCGGGAAGTACATTGTGAGAGGCAGACTCGGATGGAGTCGCGTGTGTCTCAGTCTGCGTGGCAATCGACAGATTGCTGGACTCCTGGCCCTCCCCGGAATGGAGCGAGCACTGCTTCTGCAACTCCTGAAGAGATGTACGCAACTCGTGCATGGCGGCTGTGATGGCTGTCAGGTCTGCGTGTTCTGCTCGGTCTTGGGACCCTTGGCTGTGCCTAGGCCTGGGCCGAGGCAGCGCCTCAGCCATGCGCTCAGTCAGAGCTCGTCGGCTTTCGCGCATGAAACGTCTCTGTCTGGCTGTTGCGTTTTGCAAAGCCTCGTTGGATGACCAGAAGGTCCTGTAGACACTGCAGTGGCTGTTCAAGGACAGCGGATCATAGCTACTGCCCCGCAACCGCATGAGTCCCTCCTGCAGCTCATCACGGTTAATAGCGCCAACATGACTCTTGTCGAGAATGTTGGTCACGTCCTCTGCTGTCCGTGGGAGTGCAACTTTCATGGCCTTAAGTATCTCGATTGCCTGAGCAGACTGCAGCAGCTCCAGCAGCTCCTCCTTCGAAATGTCTGGAGTTTTCCCCATGACATCAGAGCACAGCATCGAGATGCGCTCTTGCAGCTGCGCCAAATCTTCCTGCGCATCCTCCAGGGAACCTGGGGGCTGGTTGGAGGCTATAAGTAGCACTCGCTCACATATCACACCAGTCACGACATTCAGCATGGCGAAGTTGCTCACCATTAAAAACCCAACGACGTATACTCCCCAGATGTAAGATTGAAGCATCATTTCTGCTGCAATGTCGGGCCAGGCTTCGATCAAGACCAACTGAATATGCGTCAAGAACCCTTGGAACACGCCGCTGAAAAGGCCGTTGTTACTATTGCCCTCCTGAGGAGAGCCTAACAGCTCACAGCAGAAAAGAGAACCTGCATAGCAGAGCGCTGTCAGCAATATCATAACGTCTAGGATCGCAATGAATGTGCTAAATAGTCCTTTGACTAGCATTGCAAGTGCAGGGAATGTCTGCAGTAGTCGGATGATGCGCAGCAGTCTGAACGTCCGAGCCGTCTGTAAAGACGAGTTCGATGTATTTGCGGAACTTGCTTCCAGGAAATAAACAACGGTGTGCGCGAGCGTGGCGACGAGCACAACCGCATCAAACACTCCTGAAGCAGCGAAACAATAGTTCCTTCCCAGTGCCTGGCTGCGGAGGGAATATTCAATCGAAAACACGATAAGAAAGATGAGCTCCACGAAGGCAAGCACATACAATACTGGACCAAGTTTCTCCAGCAATCCGGACCCATCGTTTTCTCCCTCGAGACCAAGCTCCACGCCAAAGGAGATCGATTGCAGCAAGATCAGGATCCCGAACATCTGGCTTGACTCGTCTGAAAGAATCCAATAGGATCCCGCAACGACTTTGCGGACATGTTCGTCGTGTATGGCATCTAGCCGCAACCAGGTTGGAGAGTTTTTAACATCAGCAAAAGAAGCCGTTTTTGACCTCAGCCGCTGCAAAGTCGAGTGTCTAAGCCTGAACGCTTTTCGCTGGGGATGTTCTGTGCCTTCATCAGATTCGTCCTCATGGAACTCGACTGCTTTTGTCGCCATCGAGGCACTGTAAGCGAAGTACAAGAATCAGGCCAGGTCTACTCCATGTTTACTCTTCCATGTGGTCAAACCGTCAAACCTTGTAGCGTTGCTATGCCAGCGCCCTGATCCTTCCACAGATAGAAAATAGCAAGCGGGCTTTCCCGGGCAGTCTCTGCAGATTCGAGCCCAATTGCTGTGGCAGTAGAAGCATCAGTGGGCAACTTAGTCAATAGCCAACTACTGAAGCTTTGACTGCGGGGTTCATTTCTTACGACCTTGCAAGGTCCACCAAACCAGCTCTGCTACAACGACTGAGTCCAAGAAGCCCACAGCTAATTCCGGAGCTCGGGGTTATGAAGAGTTGCCAGTGGCGCAAGACCTGCCCAAGCAGGCTTGTTGCAATCAAGTCTCTGCGCCATCACCGCATAAAGCCGATTGCTTATTTTCGTAGACACGGCAATGCGATCAGCAAACGTCTTGAGACTGAGATCCGCACCTGCCCATGCAGCTAGCGGCACGAACTTAAGGTGTTGTCGGGAAGCTGTTCTGCAAGCTTGCTGAGCGAGATTGTGGAGGTGCCACGGATGCCTTGCTCCATAATTTAAGCAAGGCATCCGGAAGTCTGTCGAGCGGCATGTTCAGCGAGTGTGTGGCCAAACCTTTCGAAGCTCTCCGATGCAAGCCGGTTTCTCCGGCATCTCAAAATCTCCTGAGCCATCTACTTCGTCACATGGCGCTTCACGCGTCGGCTATATTTGCTGCCGATGGACCGGCCACTGTCTGTGCAATCTTCACGTTATCGACAAGCTCGAGGCGATCTCCTGTGTGTGTGTGTGTGTGCGTGTGTGCTTGTCAGGTAGATGCCATGGCCCACTATGTTTGCTAGGTGTTTGCCAAGCAAACATAGAGGGGCATGGCATCTATCTGACATGCTGCTGCTGCACAGGCCTATGTCTGCAGGGGTGTATCATGTGCAAGCATGCAAGGCCGCATTGCCCGACCGCTTGGACGTGCTTGATTCGGCCGCTGACTTGGTCCGCACTTTCATGCACGTTGCTTTGCGTCCTTAGCAAACCCTAGCATTTTGAGGGCTGCACGGCTGCATTAGAGCGACTGGGTACTACCACTGCGAGGCTTGCAAGCGTGAAAACACGAAGATCATCAACATTGAAGTTCGCAGGTTTAGTGATGCACAATGCTTTTCTCAAAGTCACGTGACCCTCATGGCAGGCACAGGCTGTTACGTGAGAGACTGCGCCGGGCCATCGGTGACTGTCAGGCACTGCAGCGCCATGTTGCAGTCATTAACTCTTCGGATTGCTCAGCAAGCCACAGTGGTTTGTGGCATCTGTGCAACGTGAAACCCTTTGGAAAAGTTGACCTCATGCACACGCGCTGCTTGAGCGAGTCATGTGGCGAAGTGCAGATCAAGAAATCTTTTCAGCAAGTTCTTTGCCAGAAACGCGGATGCTCACCTCGGTAAACATAATTGGTCGTCTCACAGTGTATTTGTATTTCTCAATTTTTTCACCTACAACTACCTGATACTACCTGCTTCGCCCGTGTGGTGTCCCGCTTTCGTATGCGGCACTTACTCACCCGGAAGCGTTGGCAATGATAGTCTCACAGGCCCTCGCAGACTCTGGAGTGCCTGAGATTCCGGCCCAGCCTTTTGCTGGTCCAGTGCCCTCTTCTAGCCTCCCAATGGATGATGCACGGTTTGCACCTAGACCTGCGTACAACACAAAGCAAAACGCAGACCTGTAACAGAGCCGCTCTCCAACTTTGGCGATCTCCTCCACAATGGCTCCAGTGCTTACCTGTGGTGACAAGCACTTTCACCAAGCCACTTGAGGTTGCTTTCGGCGCAGAACACTTGTGAAGACATCGGGCATGGGGTGCCCTGTGTTGGCATGTTCGCATCGTGGGGGGGGGATCCCAAAAGTGCATGTTTTCGGGGCTTCCATCCTTAAAACACAATTGTGTCGAGGGCATCAACTGCATGGAGCACCGTTGTCATCACGGGTCCATGATGATCTCCTACGAGGCTGACCATGCAAGACGGCAAGTGCAAGCGCGAGGCTGCTTTGTGCGGTTCGTTTTCCTCTTTCGTCATGAGCAGAAGGTTCGAAGCAATCTGCAATCTGCAAAGAAATGTCTTTCTTTCTGCTGGGCATAGGGGTCGGTGTGCGCCCTCAGGCCATCGGCCCGCACGCCGCACAACCACCCCCTGTTTCATGGAGTGGTTGGCATTCAGCAAAAGGAATCTCTCTTTGCTTTGCTTGCTTGGGGCTTGTGCCAGCGGTCCTGACGCCCCGTGCTCTAGGCGCTTCCCCTTCCACTCTTGGCGGGAGGGGCTCGGCCGTACGGCGGTCACACGGACCAGACTGGGTGAACTGTGTGGTGTGCCCCGGTGGAGGCAGGGCAGGCTGGGCTTCCTCAACAGCGAGTTACCCGCAACGAACTAGAGGCGAGTGCCCATCCTGCACTGTCAGTGGCTAGTCTCTTGGCTCCTGACATGCACGCAAGGCCACTGGTTTCAGCAAAGAAAACGAAGGCTGATCGGGTGCCACTGCCACCATTTGTACCCCACCTTACCTGCCTATGCCCGGTCTGTATCCCGAACTCAAGCCTGATCCCTGCATCACACTGCCTGCGACCTTCCACTCAACCCTGACCTGTACTGCCAACTTGCCACTGTGCAAATCAAACGATCTGAAACACCCTGGGAATCATACAGCAGGACACTTCTTGCAAGGAGGGCTACGCTCAGTTGTCGTCAAACGCAGCGTGCATGCGTCTCCGACGATCCGTGCCCCGGCTCAACTGGTCTTCTTCCTGTGGAATCTCTCTTCTTCTCTTTAGCTCCCTCCCTCCTTTTATTTGTATGTGTGGGAGTGTGTGTCAAGTGTGTCTGCTGTGGGCGCGCCTGAGGCTGAGATGGAAAGTGCATTCGCGCCAGTATTAGTCATTCCTGTTCTCTCGAGAGACGGGTGGCGCTTAGCAATGATCGGACATCGCCGCGGCGATCGTCCAGCCCGTGAATGGCCGTCATGCAACTCGAAGTACGTAGCATTTACCCACCATGCTGACTCGCAACCTTCGGCATATCTCCAAGCAAATCAAACTAGGACGATTCCTGGAGCAATTGCAACGCAAGAGGTACGGTCGAAGATCTCGAATGTTCGGAGGCAGTGCAATGGTCAAGCTGTACATCATGGGTTGGGGGTGTGGCCATCTCGTGCGCAACAGTCATTTCGGGTGTCATTGTGTCATTTATGGCTGCCTGCTGTGCTTCTTTCAGAATGTCCTTCCTTACGATTAGAGCTTGTAAAATAGATCCGCGGTGTGTGGCCGGGTGGGCCAAGTGTCCCTTCCGGCTCAGAGATCCACAGAGCGAATCATGAGCCCCAGCGGGCCGGAGATGGCCAGAGTCTGCCTAACTTGATACATGCCAGCAGGGACTCTTTCCCCATCGAATAACTCAGGCCTGATCGGCGCTTCCCTGCTAGCTTCCATACAGGTGCTCAGGCAGGCACGCGGCCGAGGTCGGCAGACTTCAATGATTCGGACTGTCGCACGATGATGCCGCCTTTGTCCGAACCTTGCCGCAGAAAACGAGTTGTCTCTGTAAGCTTCGCCATGCGCCGCCGGGCCTCCTGTTATCCTCCAGCGCGGAACGGCTGGTTCAGAGTTTGCAGCCGCTGGTGCTGACAGTGGCCGCGGCTCTTCTCGGGCAGCTGGGAATGGATCATCGTGATCCTGCAGATCTACCGAGTGAACACGGCTGTAAGGCTGTAACTCATTATGCTGAGATTGAGGGCCTCTTGCAGAATTTCGGATGAGCATACCTGCACCTGCACCGTGGTCCTCTCCAGTGAGTCCGGCGGCATGCTGTTCAAGGTTGTCCTGAAAGATGCATCGTATGTTCGTCGCTTGGGCCATAAACAACCGAAACAGCTTTTCCAAAGCAGCCGCGGGCCTGCTCACTTCCACTTGGGCCAAGGTAATGGAAAATGTAAATCGCCTCAGAGCGCTGGAACAGGAACAAAAGAGCTGGGAACACATGATGCCATGGATCAGTAGTTAGTAGTTAGTAGTTAGT